GTTATGAATCATTTTTTTTTTTTGACCACTTATGAATGAATCCTTGAAGAAATACATATCATGTCACCTCCAATTAAATGATACTTGAGGTCATCCTTAAGTGGTTGGCCCAAAAATAGCCTGTCGCGCGTGTCAATTTTTTTATAACAAAATAGTTAGAACAGCAGCTCCTTTTTAAACATATTTTAGCAATTTTCTTATATATCCTTTACGATTAAATTCAAAATGGAATTTTTATAGGTCTAGCTTGGGTTATGAGACCAAACTAAACAAATAATCCACTATTTTTTATTTTTTGTATTATAATTGATTTATTATATTTATCAATGATATATCATTGTATATTAAGATAAACTGCTTGTAAAATTTTAAATTTTTAATAATAAATATTTTATATATTAATAATAAATTTATTGTATATTAATGTGAATAGGCCACACTTTTAATTTTTAAAATTTTCATTCATATTTTTGGGTGCAATTTTTTTTTGGGCCAATAGGTGGATTTATCCAATTCAACATAACCAAATTAAATCTAAATATACTTTATCAAATTATTTCATTTTTGATGTAATTATTTTGCCTTGTTCCTTTCCTATAGAATAAACTGTAATAATAATAAATTAAAGAAGGTACTAAAAGTGGTTGATTGAGAATTTAAAAATTATGAATTATATATGCATGAAAAAAAAAATTATATCGGAATAGTTACTTTTCAATTTCTGCTTACTTTAGTTTTTGTTTGTTTTGTTTTTTGTTTTTCAAGTGTCATTCATGAAGGCAAAATTAGCTGTTTTAATTATGGAGACAATGTCCTAATCATGCAGTAAGTAGTGATCCAGGGATTAATTATTGTAATTAGGAAAAGTCTAGTGCCTGCACCGGAGCATGCACATAGTGGTTGTCGAATATCAATTAACAAAACAACAATAACCACCTTCCCTCCCAACTAAATCACCCTACCTCATACTTTTAATTATTATCTCTGTTTCTGTAAACAAAAAGTAATCCATTATACTTCCTCCATTTTAAATTATAAAATATTTTTAAATAAATTCTCACATATTAATAAAACTCATTAAATATACTTTACAATTTTATTTTTTTCAAAACAAAAATATAAACTTTTAAAAATATTATTTATTTAATAATCAATTGATGAAATAATATTAAAGAAAGAGAATATATGAGAAAGGTAATATTAAAAAAGTATCATTAATAAACTTTATTTTTATCAAAGTATTTATATTTTGGGACATTAATTTTTTAATAAAAGTGTCATATAATTTAGATGAAAGGAATACATTATAATTAAGTTATTTGCACATCTAACTTCTAATAAAATGTAATAACATTGCACTGTATATTTTTTCCCCCAATGATTCAGACTCAGTGGATTGACATGTATTATTGTTTTACTTAAAGGTTGAGGCCTGAGGGATGTTTGATTATTTATATAATTTTTATCCAATGTATCAAACTTTATATTTTTATCTTTATTAATTAACATATTGAATTTTATGTTATTTAAAATTTTTATTACATATATTTTGTCAAATATGTCTGGTATGAAGTATTTGCATATTGAAAATTATAAATTATAAAAATCAATATCTATTTTGATAATTGTATGTTTCAAAGCTTTTTTTATCATATATAATCTAAATAAAATTTAATTTACTACGCTAACATTTGAAAAATGATATTTAAATACAAATTTTATTTAATCAACTAATTTTTATTAAATAAACGTTTGACAAGTTGACTATTAACAAATGGAAAACCAAAACACACACACGCAGAAAACATACATGAGATCGTTGCTCCAAATTGAATTCAACAATTTTCAAATATAATTTAACAATATTGGATATTTATATAGTTATTTTTTTAAAAAAATTAGTACGTATTAGTTTAAATTTCATTTGAAATAGCAGAAGTCGCATCCTAACAGACTATTACACATCTCACCATGTAAAAAAAAAAAAAAAGCCGTAATATCTGTGGGTTCTGTGTTAGCATCAAAGACTTTAAACCTTCAAAAAGACAGCTGGATTCTATTTGAACATCTTGATGGAGCCGAAAAAAGGTTCATATTTTTTTAAGGATCAGACTTTAATATTCATCTCTAAAACGATAAATATGACTTGCGGGTTTGAGTCTGTGGGCTCAGCTTTGAAGGGTTCGAGGTTGCTTTATTCCCCCCTTTTTTAACATTAAAGTTCATGGTGTAAATTTGTAGCGCCGGTGTATGACGTGGATTCTAGATATTATATTGTATGTTATATTTGCATAGATTAAAATGTACTTTTGCTCATGTTTTTTTTTTTTACGGTGCGCTAGATATCTTGTATTACTGAATGGAATATTATTTTTTGAAAGAGTGAAAATTCTCTCCATTAGTTATTCATTAATTGGGAAAAATTTTTATTCATCTAAAAAATTATTTTAAAAAAAATATTACATTTATTAATACAAAATGTCTAGTGCTCTTTGAAGAAAATATATGGGTAATAATACACTTTAACCTTATTTGTACTCAGTAATTTTTTTTTTTTGAAAAAACCAATCATTTGATTCCTATAATTATAACTCAATTATAACTTAATTTTTAAATTTTAATTTATTGTAATTCAATCTTTATAGTTTTAACTAGATTATGATTTAATCCTTAAATTTTAACTCTAGTAACCAATTCTCATAGTTTTAACTATTTAAATTATTGATCCCTATATTGTAAAATTAAAATTATAAATATTAAGATTATGTTAAAATCAGGACTCAAATTTTAAGTTACTAAGCCTTTTAAATTTTTATAAAGATAAAAAAAATTAAAATTTTAAAATAGTTCTAATCTTTATAATTTTAATTTTTAAAATATATGGATTGATATTTTAAGTGGTTAAAACTATAGGAATTGAGTTATAACATTTAGAATTTAGAAATTGAATTACAATTGAGTTAAAACTATAATGATTGAGTAATAATGAGTTAAAATTTAAAAATTAAATTATAATTAGATTAAAATTATAATGATCAAATGATTAATTTTTTTAATTTTAAAAAAATTAAATAAAAGGTTTACATGCGCAACCCAAAGCTATAATAAAAGGAGCAAACTTTGTGAATCATATTCTGTATGAGAAAAATGATTTGCATCACCTAACCCTTTTGGCTGGAGTTCGGATTAAATATGGGTTGGGTTTAATAGGTTATTTATTTAAGCTTGTTTTTGTAAGGCTTAAAAAATCAATGTAACTGAACTCTTAAACCCTACCTTGTAAACAGGAGCTCTCTCCCATATTATTTTATTTTTAAATTACATTGAAATGCACAGATGAAGAAGAAAAACCCCAATATCTCAATTTGAATCCCAAAGGCTTTTGTTTCCTCAGTGAAATTTTTATACTTGAAATGTTTTTGTTATGGTGTGGTACTGTTAAATAATTATTGGTCTTGTTCTTTGATGGGTTAAGCAGGTTTAGGTGTGAAATATTTGATCCATCTGACTTCCAATTTAAACTTAAATTGCCACGCGCATATTGGCTGTACCAGAAGACTATTTTCTTTTATATACAATACTGTCTTGATGATTTGAAATTAATTATATTCTCTCGTTCTATTTACATACAATTTATGATTAGCATGTAAAAGCTTGGTTTATAATTGTGATATAATCGATGATCTGAATTGATTCAATTTATTTTAAATTTTAGAAGATTCTAATTAATTTATAATGTCATTATGTTGAACTGTATTTTAATTTTTTAAAATAACTTACAAACCTGGTTTTGAGTCATTTAAATAAGGACCGGATTTATATAATTTAAGCATGCCCGTTTTCCAATTCTTATAACTAAACTCATTGGATTGAACATATTAGGATCGGGTCACCTTGTTTTCCACCTCTACATGTCGACTTGGATTTGAACTTATAAATGTATAAAACTTGTTTTGAAAGACCAACTTCAAATTAATCACGACTCAACTCAATTAATTAGTCAGAGTTAAATTCAAGATGATTTGCCTTTTACATTAACACATGGCAGGAGGAAATTTTGCTTTAGATTTGGTGCCGCAAAAGGACAAAAGTGGGTTCCCCACCAACATAATGGCCATCGTCCCCTCTTCTTCCTCCCTACCCCACGCCGCTCTCTTTCCACAACCCTTTGTATTGGATTATTGATGACCCTTCCCTCGTCAATTCACGATGAGGATGTAATGTTTACTCTTGAGAATAATTTTTTATTTTTTTTAAATTTAAAATTTCAGCATCTAAAAGTCAGACTTGAATTCGATGAATGAAATGAGTACCCTTATTTAACAAGTTTTTAAATGACAATCGTTGAATTTTATTTCATTAATATTTGAAGATTTTCAATAAACATTTCTCTTCAAGAATTTAAAAAAAAGTTAAAATAGTTTTCTTTATGCGTCATCCCTATCAAAAATTTAAAATTTTATAATTTTTAATTAATATATGACAACATTCACAAAATTTTTTTGAAATCATTTAATAATTGAATAGTTGTCATGAGATATTTGTTAAGTATGTAAATTTAAGTTATTCATCAAAATCACATTTTAAAAGTCACATAAAATGATTACTATTAAGCGGTTTATTGTAATAAATATTATTTATTCTTTTCGAATATATATATATATTTAATTTATTCCAAAATAAACTAATAATTACAAGTTATTTTGAGTCAATTAAACATAATTTCTAGTACTTGCTCTGCGTTATAAAAATAATAAATAATGTACGAAAAAAATCAGTAAAATAATGCTCCCTCCCGAGCAAAACCATCCATCACCGCCCTGCCACTAGCAGAGCCAATCAAACCCCTCCTATTTCATATCCACGAATCATTATCTGACACTCAAATTCACAAACCAGTATCATTATTACTAATCTTTATTCTTTTTATTTTTATCCAAAAAAGAAAAATTCATTTTTCACTTTTCAAATCAAATTTCCTCCACCCTCAGTCATCTTCTCTCACAGTATCCGTGGGTGTACTATTTTGTCCTCTTTGTCCTCGTCCTCCTCTCGCGAACCTTACATTACAATACAAAGCACTCTGTTTAAAGCAGCCTCATTTTCACACAACCCATTACCTAATCATCAATTCATCATCCCCTGCTTCTAATTCCTCTATCTCAGAAGATACCTCTCTGGAGAGTGCCTGCAGCATGACACTGTCCCTCTCGCTGTTGCACAGGCAATTCGTAGCTATAGAGCCGTAGAGTCGGTGAACCTCATTCTGATTGGTAGAGGGAGAAACAAAAGGAAAGATTAAAAGGTGTTTGTAGTTATGCCTCAGAGGAATGAAAACAAGCAAACAATAAGATCTTGGCGTGTATGTGTGTGAGTGTAATACGAGAGTACTGTCTGTGTAGCGAATGTGTATAGCTGATGAGGTTCTGGACAAAGATGTGGTGGGATTGAGGTTTTGGATTGGATCTGACTTAGCCTGATCAGAATAAGAGGCGTGAGAACACACATAGAGATAAATGACAGAAGAGAGTGAGCACTCTGCTGGCAATTGTATGAGTTCATACATTTGCAGGTGGGTGCTCACTTTTCTTTCTGTCATATCTCGTTTTCCTTTGTCGTGTGTTCCTTCGTCGCACAGAAGCCACCTTTCATGTCTTTCTCTTTTCTGGCCTCCATGGCTCTATCTGCAGTTCAACACTCCACAGGAGAGAGTTTTACTCTCATATTCTCTTACTAGCACGGTCACTTTTGACTCTCTCAGCCAGATCGCTTCGTTTTGTGTTCATCTTTTTCTGAATCTCTTTCAGTCAATTTTGAAAGGTTACAGAAAGCATGCTGTGCTTATGCACACACAGACCCCCATGATACTATAGCCCTTGAAATGACATATCTAGCAGCAGGCCTAGCTAGGCGCCTCCCAAATCTGATCCCTATCCGCTTAATGTTCTTTATCTCGATCTGCTAGAACCTACTAATCCTAGTGTCTAACCTGATCTGATTTCTTAGCCCAAAAAACCAAAAAAGCGATAATTAGGAGTGTCTATATTCATGCTGTTTTTGAGTATCTGGAGATAAGAGCTAGCGTGTAAAGGCTTCTCTCCATCTGTTTATGACCTGATCTTTATCTTTTCCTGTATTTAATCTTTTTTTCCCCAGTTGGCTGTCTGTAAATTATTTTTTTGCCTTTTTTAATATTGTTTGCGTGACTTTTTATGGTACTCTCTCCTTCCGGGGAAGTAGAAACTAGAAGACCCAAAAGAAATTCTTGAAGGTACGCTCTGTTACTGTTCATATTTTAACGGAAAGCTGTATGCTTTCTTCAGTTTTCTATCAAACCCTTATTTTCATTTCCTCTTATTCACCATGCAAAGAGCTAAAGGCCCATGTTTTGGCCACCCGATAAGCTCGAATCTTCCGAGAAAGGAGCGAAAGGGGGGAAATTTGTATCAGGAATATAAGACAACGGGAAAATAAATCGAAGCTTTAATAATAATGCAGAGATTTAAAGCGATTTTTCTCGACGAATATTGGAATCTTTGTAGAGTTGGAGGAAAAAGGAAAGTCTTGGGAACGTGTTTCAGGAGGCTAAATATGGGAAGATTTCGTTCTTTCCCTTTCTGGGTTGGAATGCATTTAGTACTTGCCGTAATTGAAGGATTTAAAGATGCGAGCTTCCTTTTACAGGTTAGATAATTTTCAGTAAACAGATTCGATGAGATTTTCTTGAAATTTTTTCCTCTCTCTCTTCGCCTTAATGCGATGGTTTGATTATTTATACAACAAGTAATTGGACGTCTCCTTTTATATTTTTATCACAGAACCTGTTTGGCGTTAGGAAGCAGAAACCTGCCTCACCTATTTCCTGCAGTATAATTGCTCAGGTAAAGTTTCTCATACTTGGTATTTTTATCTTCCTCTCTCTTTTTTTTTAGCTTAATCATTTGTTTGATAACTTTATTGAGTATACAAAACCAGTTCACTTTAAGGATTTTGTTGTTTGTATCTTTTTATTAATTTAGCTTTTATCAATGATGATACCTGTCGTTCCGTGTGTGCTATTCATGTAGTTTTTGATACAATTGGGGTTTCAATGGAGGATCCAGAGGTCCCATCGTTTGTGAGTGTGTGTGTTTTCCTGATAGCAGCAGTCCCATGGTTCACATTTTAGAACAAAGAATATAACTTTGACCTTTTTAATGATACAGTCCAAACAAAAACAAATTCTCAAACCCCGGTGCAAGAGATGTCCCTTTGCCTTCACATGCGTGTCTGTGTGCATTATTCATCTTGGAAACGTTTCGTCAATACTGAATTTGATAACTTATCTGATTAAATATGCTTACTAAAATTGTCAAACTTATGACCCAAATGGTGATTATCTAATTTTCTTTGGTGTTTTTCTTTTTTAAAAATATTGCTAAGAATTTTTGTTGTGACAACATCCATCTTGACCATTTTGGATGGCATGTGATATAATGATATGCATGGATCTTCAATCCTCAATTTTTTTCTCCTAATATTTTTACAAAATACCAATTGTAAAATTATTGTAATAATTTTCAATTGTAAAAACAAACACAAGAATCTCATATGCCTATATCCTTGTCAAATATCTTATCAAAATTTAAGGCATGTACTTATGTGGGCCACTGTCCTATATTTGGTAATTTACAGTGATACAACATTGTTCCCAAATCTTGGGTATCGTGAAATATTGTCCAAAAATTGGTGATCTTAGATGTAGCTTCCCTAGCTTTTATAGCATGCTAGTTGTAAAATTTCTACGGTAACTTCCTAATGTCATGATATATAAAAATGGATAAAAAAACCATACCAAAGTATGTTGCACAAATAAATGACGCACATGAATCCAATAGGTTCACCTAGTGTGTGTTAAAAATTAAAGTACTTGACCGTTACAATTTTTGTTTGGAATAATGTTTGATTATTTACGGTTACGGTAGTGTTCCAAAAATAATAAATCACATGGAATTGCCACGTAATATATTAATTAAAAGCCCCCTACTCATCCTATGTCCATGTTAACATCGCACTAGCCTTAATGGCCACCGCAATATCTTGTCATAGGCCTGAAGTAAACCCTAAAAGGGACTCCAAGACTTGAACCTGCAGTCTTTTTGGGACATAAGTATCGTAGCTAGGCAAAATCCCACATAAAGACCCCAATTTATATATGTGCTGGAAATTATTATTACTTCAAATTCAAAAAGGTTCATCGATCTGATGTAGGTTTGGGGCTCAGGGTAAGAATATAAAGCACACCGACTTTTATGCCTGAGGAACCATGGAAATTATATTGTTTAGCGGTAACGCCAGTTTGTGCTTCATTTCAATGGTACCATGGAAGAATGTCATGATTGCAAACTGAAACTGATGTACTTAAATCATGTCAACTAAACGCTGCTGGTGTCTCATATCTTGTTTCTCTGAAATAGTACACAAGTGACTGTAATTTTATATTTCTTCAACAGGAGACTGTTGGTATAAAATTAAAGAAAAATATAACTTTAAATTTTTATATTTTACTTTCATATTAATATAGGTTGCGACATTTTTTTTGATATTATAAATTTTTATACTTTTATTTTTTAGTGTTTTAAGTTTTTGTACTTTTGTCTTGTTATAAAACATCGAAAAACAAAAATATAGGGATTTAGAATACTGAAAAAAGTGCAAGAATTTGTAACAAAATGTGAGTAAAGTGCATGAACCTAAAGTTATGTTTTTCCTAAAATGAATGTAACCATCTATTGATTATCCATCATTCATTAACTTGGAAGGTCATTAAAAATATGCATGTTTAGTAGAATAGGTGTTTTATTTTTTTCAATATTAAAGTGTTATTTATTTGTAAACTTCATTGTCCACGCAAGTCATTTGCCATTTTGCCTGCAAAGAAATTGGAAATATGGTGAGGAATTCTACTTCTATCTCATTGTGTTACTAATCATTATAGACAGTGAGATCATAGTGGGTAGCTTCCTCACATGACAGTAAATAGTAATGCCATTGAACAGTTTGTTCTGGTATTGTGTATGGATTTTGATTGCACAGGCTTCCTTGTACTGTGTATGCCTGTCTGGAGACATGAAAGCGATGGCTTGGGTCTATTGTCAAGATAATGTTTCTGGTGTGTTGTGTATTGATTTATAATAAATGTAATTTCCTCTATTTTCTTAAATTCTTTATTCATAAGTATCCAACATAAGATATATTTCTAACAAGTAAAATAGCTGCGAAAGAACAGCCTCTTAAATATGAGGAATGTGAAAAATTGATTAAGCCAACCTCCTTTAGGGAGGGGCATTAATGCATTTTTTTCCCTTCCCATTTGTTCCTTAAAAAAAATTATAACACTTTGTGATTCCTTTTAGCTCTCTACCATTTATTCATGAGATCCATTCTCTTAAAATACCCACCCCCCAAAAAATAAACATGATGATGCAGTAAATATGTTGATTTGCTTATTAATTTGGTGTGTCTAGCTTTACTTTTTTCTTTTGAATCTTTTATTTTTAGTAACCTTCACTTCTTAAGGTGTTTTTGTCTCTTTTCCTTTTATCTGGGCGCCTGTTTCTCCTCTTTTCGTTCCTTTATCATTTACACTCCTTTTCCCATCAGAAATGGTTGTCTTAAAAGCACTAATCTCTTCTCTTATTTATATGATAACTTAAAGACTACCTTTAGTTAAAAGAAGAGAATATAAAATATAAATTTATAAAGAGCATCTGATTTCTTTGTCATAAAGAAGAAAGAACACTGAGCAAGTGGTCCCATGAAACAAATTACAATGAGATAATTAGCAAATAATGAGGTATAACTGTGGACATTTTTGCAATAAAATTTAACTTTGTGCTCCGGTGATGCTGCACTGCTTGTGAATTTTATGTCAGATATTCCGAGTTTCATTTCCTTTAAAACATGAGAACCAATCTATGATCAACTTCAGTTATAATGGTTAATGAGGGCCGATTAGTGTTGGTTTCACTTCCCGCTGTACTTGAAACTTATGAACTCAGATTTGCTGCTTTAAGATCGCATTTCAGAATTGGAAGGTAGAAATATCAAAGCCAGATTTAGGTCTTCTGTGTGGAAGAAAGTTCCAAATTAATGCAGGGAATTTGAGTTTTGGTTAGCGGAAGCCTATCCTTCAGTCTCTCTGGACATTTTTACAATAAAATTTAAATTTGTGCTCTGGTAATGCTGCACTGCTTGTGAATTTTATATTAGATATTCCGAGTTTCATTTCCTCTAAAACATGAGGACCAATCTGTGATCAACTTCAGTTATAATGGTTAATGAGGGCCAATTAGTTACTTCCTGCTTTACTTGAAACTTATGAATTCAGATTGTGGTGCCTTAAGATCGCACTTCAGAATTGGAAGGTAGAAATATCAAAGCTAGATTTAGGTCTTCTTTGTGGAAGAAAGTTCCAAATTAATGCAGGGAATTTGAGTTTTCGATTAGTGGAAGCCTATCCTTCAGTCTCTTCTAATTGTATTCTTTGCATAAACAAGTTATAGAGGTAACTCTTACTTGCTTGAGTGTAGTTGATTTAGTCTGTGGGATATTTGTCTAAAATCTCTCGTTGTAATGATAGGTATAACAAGTAAAATATCATGCCTAGCTATTGACCTTTGGGTCTAAAGACACTTCTGCACTCCCTTAGATTTTAACTGAATGAAAAACAAAACGCTCAATTTCATGGGACTGTGATTGCTTACATATGATATAGTCATAAAAATTGGGTTTGGTTGGGTTGAACTCTTAACATTTAACTGCGCTTTTTGATCTGATGTTATAAGAAGGAAACATCCATCTTAAAAGTTCAATGTTAAGAGAAGACTCGCATCACAAACCATTAAAGGATAAGTTTTCAAAGCTGAACTGGTTGAAATAAGCTCTTAATTAAGACATCATTCTAGTCATTGCAGTTTGTGCATCCTTATCAAAGTGATAAAATCATAAAAACCAAACCAAGATGCTACGTGCTGATTGAACATATTGGTGTGGTAAGATGTTGTCAAATCTTTAACCAAACTGCCTTCTTTGTCAGTGTAGCAATTTGAACAATTATCATTACAAAACCATAACTAGATGGCATTTTGCTATGGGCTTGAAATATAACTATTGTTTACTTTACTCAGTCATATGTGGTATATCTTCGAAGAACACAAGCAACTTTATCAGCTGTATGCTTCAATTTCTTGTTTTCAAGGAAGTGTGATTAAATGACACCATGTTGATCTGATTATTTCAATTTGACATGTAGTTAAAATATAGGTCACAGTGAAATTCTTGATTAGCTTTTACTGAAAATCTCAATCTAATTTGCATAGTATTTGCTGCTTAAACTAAATGAATGAACTATATCTCACAGATATGACCGATTCTTTAACTTCTTTATCTGCCACTTTTTCCTTGGACGTTCTCAAGAAATAAGTTAGTGAAGAGCGGCTCACATCGGTACTTCTATTTGGTTGTCCCTTTAGTCGCCTGTAGTTGTATGAGGTTTTTGCCCAGACTTTGTGAAACAAGTTGGATGTTCAACATGCTTCATGGTTATATATTTTCTCATATGGCATATGGTTTCTCATTGCTTTTTGATTTTCTTGAATGCTTGATATTTTGAGTATGTCAGAATATTCAACAATGTAACATATTTTCCCTCCCATTATCACATGGGGCTTATGTAAAGTGGTTCCATCCCCCCTTTTTAGTTGCATTAGCTGCTTGTAAAGTATTCTGTTGTTTTTTCCATTTTAATTTGTTTTCTGTCTTGTGGTTATCAAACAAGGATCTTCTGGATTCCCTACCATCAGCATATCAATATTATTGTTTCAGATTGACAAGTGTTTTAGATAGTCAGCCAGAAACTGAGTTTATGATTTGACGTTGTATGCTTGATGCATTAGCTTTCTGATAGGACTAGATTTGACAGATTATTGGATATGCAATCCCTGCCTCTTTCCTAGCCATCTAAGTGCAACTAGTTTCTATTCCAGTTATTTACATTCACGTTTCAGTTCAAAATTACACATTCTTGTCTTGGCATGAAACTCTCCATGATTGCCCTGTGGCTTGAAATAGATTGAGGATGCCAATAAACTGTGTACATGACATGAGGGATTCCAATATGAATATATTGCTGAAAAGTTCAGGATACAAAATAAAGAAATGTTGCTTGAATGGTTTTGCAGCAGAATTCTGGTGGAAGAGAAAGTGTCAAGTGAAGGATCAAGTGGTATGGATAATGTGAGCCCAGAAGGTTTAGATTCAAATGGCGATTGTTATCCCACCTATCCAAACAAACATTTAGGACATGGCAGCAAAGAATCCATTAATAAATTAAAGGGCATTGTGCCACGGCAGAATGGGAGTTGGGGTTCTAAGATGTATGTTAATAGTCATCAGATTTGGCTTGGGACTGTCAAGTCCAAAAAGGAACCCGAGATGGCTCATGAAAGTGTGACTATTCAGCTTCGCTGCGCTGGTTCTCACCAGAATTTTCCTTGGACTGATTTTACTGTTGAGGAGCCAAGCTTCATGAGTCAATATAGCCAAGAAGCTGTACTTGAGATGATAAGGGGTGGTTCATGCCAACCAATATTCCAAGGACATCATAGGGATAATTATGGAAAGGCTGAATTAGGTATTTGTGGCCCCAACCTTTCTGCAATGCAGAGGAGAGGTGGCTTCTCATGTAAACTACTTTTCCGAAAGATGCTGACACCGAGCGATGTGGGTAGGCTGAACAGAATTGTCATACCCAAGAAAAATGCCACCACGTGCTTTTCTGAGATCTCTGGAAGAATGGAAGAAGATGCAAAAGTTGGAGTGGTCACTGATGTGCAGGTAGATTTCTTTGACAGAATGATGAGGTGCTGGAAGTTCCGGTACTGCTTTTGGAAGAGCAGCCAGAGTTATGTGTTCACGAGGGGTTGGAGCAGGTTTGTGAAAGATAACCAGTTGAAGGTTAATGATGTTGTTGCCTTTTACTTGTGTGAAGTCCAAAGGGAAGGAAAAATAGTGGACAAGTTCTTCATGATTGACCCTGTGAGAGGTGAAGAATCTGTTGGTAATGGCAGCAGCAGCTCAGTGATTGAAGTTTCTGATCACAATGCTGGGTTGAAACCTGAAATGTTAACCTCGGTATTTGAAGGCACTTATCACAACAATGTTGGGTTGAGACCTAAAATTAGTAGTTCATCAGTATTTGAAGGAGCTTCTTGTCACCACCATAATGTTGAGAAGAAGCTCGGAGAGGAAGTGACGGAAGTTGACCCACCAAGCAATGTTGAGAGGAAAGGATTTAGACTCTTTGGGGTTAAAATCAATTGAAGGACGTAGGCCTTCTTATATTATGACATATTTTATGGTATACTTTTATAAAGTTAGGGTTTGTAGTGTTTTTCCATAATCTGGTCTATGCATATATGATATGAATGCCTTATACTTGAGTTTGTGACATGGGTTTTGGCATTTAAGTTTTGATCATTATTAGATCATTGATAAACTCTCAAGACTCTTTACACTATTAGGATGATGTAATTTATGGCTTATTTGTTATATTTTCTTGTTGATATTTTAATTATTGAATTTCGCCTTATTGATATTTTACATTTATTGAATTAGATGTGAGTGTATGTGTCTAACATTAAAATTATGTTTAATTTTACTTTCTTGAACCCCATGTCTCAAAAAATGTGAACAAGGTCTGTCCAACCAAAAAAAAAAAAAGAATTGCACAAAGAACTTCATTGATTGTAGTTTTCTGAGAATAAAATATTTTGAATTGAGGAGAAAAAAATCAATTACAAATAAATCTGATAATTCAAATCTTGTAGGCATAATACCAAAACCAAAAAAATTAGAGAAAACACCACTTGGGGTATTCTACATCAAAGAAGAACATTAAGTTTTTGATTTTCCAATGCATCACTTTAGTCTGCAGTTGAAAATAAATTTTCATGAGGCATGACTTAATTGTCCCTCTTAGTGAAAGACAAATAACTAAACAAGAATTTGTTGTTAACATTTAAATATATTGTTGTTAATCATGATTTGATTGTTGTTAAAATTTGAATGGTTTTTTTTTTATGTAAAGTAAACACTTATTTTATTAAATTGTGCTATTAGATTTTTAATTTTATTAAAATTTGAATGTGTTGTTGTCAATTATCAATTGGATGTTGTCAAAATCTAAAAGACTTGTTGTTTATGCAAGGTGAACACCTGTTCTATTAAACTCGTACACTGAGTTTTTCAATCTTGTTAAAATTTAAATGTGTTATTAATCACAAATTAATTTTTGTCAAAACTCAAATGACTTGTTTATGCAAGGTGAATATTTGTTCCATTAAATATGTGTTGTTAAATTTTAAATGTATTATTATTAATTATGAATTGATTGTTATCAATACCTGAATGACTTGTTATTTATACAAGGTGAACACTTGTTATTTTAAATTTTAGAGGTAATTGGATCATTTCTCATAAAAACTTATTTTTAGCTAAGAATAAGGGGGTGCAATGAAAAATTGGAATCTTGAAGTTCTTATCTGATATAAAATACTTCTAGTAATCCTTTGGTGATATTTTCCCAAAAAATTATGACGTTTTGAAAACATAATATTGTCTATTTTATTTCCAATGAAGGAAAAGGTTATATTGATGAATTAGGAAGGAAGAGCTATTATCATTTACAAACCCGAAAAGGAAATATGCAGCGTCAAAATTATTAAAAAAATCAGTAACACCATAGTTATTATGATAATGGTTATATATATAATGAAGTTATAGTAGTACTCCTATTTGATTTGATGATAATCGCTAGATGCTAATTGTCCCATTACTAAAGGGGCACGTTTCTTCTATTCTTATCACTTGTGCCTAACCAATTTGCTAAACTTATCATCAAATTTGGATTATTGGAGCCAATTAAAAAAAAAAAACACACACACCCACATAGATACTTTTCTTGATCTTTAAAATTTTATCACATTTATTGTCACGTTGTCTGTGTACTAAGAAAGAAAAACAAAATTGCCATCGCACTGATTAAAAAGGCAAAAATGAGAGGTAGGAGTTAAAAATTCAAACCTTTTATGTATTATTTTTTTGAAAATATATATAATACAATGTTGATATATACTCCCTGTGAATCATGATATAAATTATTTTTTAGAAGCTTTGCTTAATATAAAATATAGGAAATTGGGTAGTTGTTATATATATTTTTTAACTACACCCTTACTTTATTGAGTAATTAATGAGGCTATTTTAAATAGTCTAATATTACACTTATTACACATAAGGGCACGATTGAAAATATATGAAAATTTTAAAAAATTAAAATTATAACCAACTTTTTTTTATAAATTTAAATTAGTTAATAATGATTTATATTGTGATCCTAAGAGAGTATGTCAAAATGATGAAATAATTTGCTAGCCAAAAAAATTGATGGAGTAATTATATATGTGGGAACAATACTTAGATACTTAGCCTTTATACTCTTAATTATTTTTTTTTGGTTGAAGGAATACTATATTAGAAACATCAAAAAATCAACAGTATACCAACCAAAGACAACAAGAATACTAGAAACAAAATGAGCAAAAACAAACAAAAGGTTTAAATGTCTTTCAAAAGAGAACATCCCAGAGCCCATAAAGTTATGATTTTGGAAAAGAGCCAAAGGGAGTGAGGGTTGGAAAGCCTAATCCAAAGAGCACACCCCATCCTACTGCAAGAGAGACTCAATTTGTAATAAGGCTGAAGCTTTATAGGATTCACTTAAAGCTACAAGGATTTAGTGTTTGCCCATAATTCAAACTAAAATTCACAATGTTAGAGCACTTTCATTATATGCATGAAGCATTGCACCTCACAACTTCTACCAAAGTGAACCAAGCCAATAGACCCAGCACCTATGATAGACCCATAAAAGAGCAGCACTATAGGTACTGGATCATGGCTTCCACATGACCGTAAAAAGGAGAGATAATGCCTTTACTGTAGCAACCTTAATATAGCCATTAGATGGCAATTGAACTAAAAAAACCACGACTAGAATTATTAAAAACATGACCATCACAGAGAGCAAAAAGATCCATGTCAATAGTAACAAAATCAATGTTAACAAAGCTGGGTCCTTCATTGGTTGCATCTTGATCCCTACTATCCATAATTTGTGCCTTTGTTACAGTATTACACTAATTATTGGCAACTCAGAATATAAGTATATGTGTGGTAGCAAGCTTCTAATCATACTTCCAACCCATAAGATCAATAGTAGGATTCAAAATACCATAAATCTCTATCATTAGAGGTATATTAATTTGATTAACTATTAAATCTCATCCTTGCTAATTGCAACGCAAAGGAGAAGCACAAACAAAGACAGAGCATGGCTTAATTCCCTTAATAGAGAGCAGTATATAATTAGATTCAGAAAAAGATAACTTGTATATAGGATTGAGGCACCTAAATGGGTAAAAACACTAGTTCTTCTTTAACTAACTTAGGGACATGCCTCGTCAATTTCTTAGATCTTGGTCCCTTAGTATCACCAAGCTTCTTCTTTGCCTTTGCTAATCTAACCAACTCTAGTTCATCATTATCCATTGCCATAAGCTCCTTCAAATGGTACTTCCCTGGCCTTGGGGTTGGGGGCACCCATCAAAGGTCATCGGCCACCATCACAAGATCAAAGAGCTTCGAAGAGCAATCACCCAAGTGATGAAGATTGACACCCTTAAAGAAACCCCAACTATGCCTTAACTTTATCTACTTAATATGTACTTTTATCCAAACAAATCAAAAGAAATGAATTTTAATATGTTAATAATATTAATAATAATTATTTGTTTTAAAATGAATATTATATAAAAAATTCACATATCTTGAATTAATTAAAAATAAATATCTTTTTTTTGTCAAAAAAATAAGTATTTTAAATATATAAAGTTAAGTACATAAATACTTTTCGTATAAGGAAAAGCATTGGGAACAGATGAGACCAGGGGACATAACTAACACAAGGTTCTTGGACTCCTCTTTTTCTACATGGCAAAACGATTTCACAAGGTGTCGTATCTCATAACTATTACTCTCTTATCTCATGGATTCACGTATAAAGAAAGCTAACACTTTAAAATTAGCATCTCACATTTTAATTTTCTAAAAACTTGATGGGGAAAAAATCAAAGAAATAAAAAGTAGATTGAAGATAGGGTAAGATCTCTAACACACCTAATATCTTAAATATTTTATATCATCGTTTACAGGTAGGATTTTTTGTGTTTGGATGCCTTGTATCTTTGATATGTCAAGTGGTAGCCACTTTTAAAGCCTATCCTCAAAGTTGGCCGCAAGCTGCTTATCTCAAGCATTTCACATGTCACACCTACCAGCAATTTCTCTGGTTTTACTCATCTAACTCAATATTCAATTATAACCAACTTAACTTATTCAAATTTCAGAAAAAGAAATCAACTTAACTATCTGATTCTTCTCTCCTCCCTCGCCCCTCCCATTAGAGACTTATTTGATTTATTTTAATTCGAAAAATTGAATATTTTTACCATTCTAATTTCGAACACTCAAAGTTTGAATTTGGTAAAAATGTGCTCACCTCACATATGGTTAATTAATAATTAAAAAACAGGCACACCATAAAATGCACATGATAATTAATTCATTCAAGTAGGATTTGAATTAATTGATTTGAATTTAAATTTTATATATTTAAAATTATTTATTTGAATAGTGTACAAATTTTAAAAGTAAAAAAAGACAAGTTGAAATTCAAAACATAAACAAAAAATTAAAAGAAAAAAATTACCTTTATTCTTTAATTGATGAGACATGAAAACGAAAAATAGAAAAGAGGCAAGACTAATACTAGAAGTATAAAGTTTAAATGTAAAGAAAATGAGAGAATTAGAGTAAGATGGAATTCCAAATAATCAAAGTTTAGAGAACATTTAAAATTATAAAGAAATTATACTAAAACATGAATATGACTTTGGATTAAATTTGAATATGAAAAATTTGGTGCAAATCCAAATCTAAATACTTATACATCTAAACAAAATATGTTTGCATCAAATGCACATCCTTGAGTTAACCATAGAGTTAGATTCTCTCCACTATCCCTCCCATGAGGGATAGTGAATCTGGGCAATCTAGACGTTCATATTTAGAATATTTATTTTTAAATTTATTAAAAAATTATAAAAAATTTAATAAATAAATTTCACTACTAACTTGAGGAGTCTAAATTTAATATGATCGGTCCAAATTTAATATTAAAATTAAAAAATAATATTAAATTTGGACCATTTATATTAACTTTGAATTATACATATTGATAATTAGATTTAATAAAAAAATTTAATTATTATAAATTAACTATTCAAATTTACTTTATATAGTTCAGATTTAATATTAAAATTATAAAAAATTATAATATTAAATTTGGATCGTCTCGATTAGATTTAATAACATTTTTATAATTTTTTATTTTAATAAATATAAAGTTAAAATTAAAATTAAAATATTTAAGTTGGACTAACTAGATTGAATTTAGATAATTCAAAGTTAATGGGGGAAGGAGGAAGCGAAGGGAGGAGGAGAAAAACCGAGTCCATAAATTATCTAACAACAAGAAACCAAGAGTGATCAATATGATCCAGAATTAAAAAGGAATCAAAACTAAAAAGATTAAATGGTTTTAATTAAAAAAAATTAAGAGGTAAGGTTATTTTTGCCATCTCAAGTTTATATAAAAGGTTGGGCACCCTAATTTAACTATGAATTTATTATATCCCTCAAGATTTTTTCCCTCAATATTATGCCATTAACTTGTCATTTAATTTATTATTAGTGGATTTTTTAATAAAATATTAAATTAAAGATTATTTTTATCCCTCAACTTTACTTAAAAAGATTAATACGTACATTAAACTTAAATATTTTACAATAAAAAATATTTTAAAAATGTAATATGAGACCCACTTGTAATAAACAAACGGTGAGTTAATGGTAACTGAGAGAGTGAATATTTAATGTTGAGAAATAAAATTAGCTTATAATTAAATTTATAATTTATAATACCTAATGACCTTGAAATAAAATTTAGGCAGAAAAATAAACTTTAACCCAAGCATCAAACTTTTTTTTTTTTAACCTTACCCTAAGATCAAACATGAGAGCCTGGAGATCTGGATCCATTCAGAAATAAAAATAGTTACGCCGTCACTAATCAAATTCCTTTCTACATAACACGTATATCTCTTTCTAAATGAAAGAGATTAAGATATTTTAATTTTAAATCTTAATCTAAACATTTACGTCTTTGTTATCATTGCTTTTCATTTGGACTGTTTTTAGCAGGGTTAAGGAAGATTTGCATAGAGAATTAAGCATTAATTAAGAAACTAAACAGGAATTAGACAAAGATTAACACATTCACACACAAACATGAAAAACCCTATCACTTGATGAACCATCAAACAGTCAACACAACAAAGTCGTTGAATCATTTTGTTCCCTAGCTTCCCATTTTCATAGGGCTTTGGAAACATACAACACAATCACACAAGGGACAAGGGTATAACAAGTAAACAAGAGTAATTAAAGCAAAACACACAAAAATGGAACATCAATCCCCACTAATTGCTTTGTATCCTCCTAAACCAGAAGATTACAATAATCACCTTAACTAAATTAAAACGACGATCGGCTACGAATCGATTCGGGTCGGCTATCCGTTGGTGATGTCCAAGCAATGTCTTTCAGGGCGGGCCGGAGCTCCTTGCTGCAGAACTGGTTGTACTCCAAGGTGTCGCCGTTATCCTTCTTCACCTCCACCACCACTAGCGACGGCGTCACGGCGTATATCTCTGCCGCAATTGCCAGCCTCCCTTTCCGTCCACACTCCTTTCTCTGCAGCCTCACCATGGTGTCGCTCTTCTTCACGTTGAATCTCTCCGCCCTCGCCACCTCCTCTAGCCTCGAGATCACGCTGCTCGCCGGCCTCGCCGTCGCGAACCTCATCTCATCCTTTTCTTCCCTCTTCTCCGAGAAAAGTGGCGACAAGTCGAATCCCTCTGATAGGGATATCAAATGGAAAGCGTTCATTGTTGCTGGCTGATTCTGCTTTGATTTCTCGAAATTATCATCGCAATCCGGATCAGACTCCTTCTCTGTTTTCGTCCTAATACTCTTCGGGATCGATTTCTTGAAGAATGACGAGTCCATGATTTTTGAAATCGTGATTCGAGTATTGGGGTTCGGGTCGAGGAGCTTCGTAATAAGTCTTCGAGCTTCGGATGAAAACCACGGCGGGCATTTGAAGTCTCCTCTGTAAATTTTCTTGTACATTGAAACCAAATTGTCGTCCTGAAAGGGTAAGAACCCGGCGAGGAGGACGTATAAGATGACACCACACGACCAGATATCCGCTTTTGCGCCGTCGTAACCTTTTTTACTGATTATCTCCGGAGAGACATACGCCGGAGTACCACAGGTAGTGTGAAACAAACCATCTTGCCATAAGTGCTCGGAGAAAGTGCTGAGACCGAAATCTGTGACTTTCAGGTTTCCATGCTCGTCCAGAAGCAAATTCTCAGGCTTGAGGTCGCGGTGGTAAACGCCACGGCTGTGGCAGTAATCGACGGCGGAGATCAATTGCTGGAAATAGACTCTGGCCACGTCTTCTTTCAACCGACCTCGAGCGATTTTATTGAAGAGCTCCCCGCCTCGAACGAGCTCCATGGCGATGTAAATCCTGGATTTGCTGGCCATGACTTCGTAAAGCTCAACAATGTTGGGATGCTTAACCATTTTCATCACTGAGATTTCTCTCTTGATCTGTTCCATCATTCCCACTTTTATCACCTTCTCTTTCGACACGACCTTCATCGCCACGCTCTTCCCCGTCTGCAAGTTCCTGGCGTGGTACACCTTCGCGAATGTTCCGTAACCCAGAAGCCGACCCAGCTCGTACTTCCCTTGGAGCAAAGTCGAGTGACCGTCTTTGCCTTGTTCAGCCATTTTTTTGGAACACAAAAGAAAAAAATCCACTACAAAGGGCGTGAAACAAAAACAGTAAAATTTGAACGGGATATTTACAAGAAAACGGAGATCGGCATGAGGTTCAGCCGTCTTCGACCTGTTTTCGGTGGCAATTCCGGCCGCCGATACGGCACTTGGTGGCGGTGGTGCCTATCTCATCAGTGTTCCTCAACCCAGGCCCTCTCATCTTTCTGCATTCCCTGAGGGAAACGACAAAGATGATAACTTTTTTAAGGATTTTAAATCGTTAATGATACTGCAACAGCGATATTCTTAATCAGCAAGCGCTTCTGATAGAATTCCTCAGGCTTCCATTTTTATAGTGGTGTTCATCCATGGAGTTACTATTGTGCCCCCGGAAAGCGGTCGCTGCCGAACGATGTAATCCGTCGATGAAAAGATTAGCCGGTGGATGGATGCCACGTGGCTGGAAGTAATGTGGTGATATGTTGACGTTTGGGGGTCCTGACACGTGTCCGTATCTTTTTGGAATGATCCGGTCAATAATGACGTGAACATGCTGGACAGCTGAAGCGTGAGTGACTACGTAAGTACTCAATAAACAGGCATGTTATGGAAGAGGACAATTAAATATGGGGAATTAGAGAAAATGATATCTTATATTTAGTAGCTATTCAAAAATTCAATAAATTTAAATCAACGGTTCAAATTTTAAACTTTGGATATATGATAATTTAGTTGTAAGGGAACTACCATTGTAGTACAATATAGCAACAGTGCCGACCAATTTTCCTTTTATGATTTAATACATTGATTAATTTTCCGTGAACAAATTTTTATTATCTTTTTAAGCCCAGCACTTGTTATGAATAATTATGGTTAAGATATTATTTAGTCTTTATAATGACGAGTGTTTGTTTTTTTTGGAAAAACAAATACATGGCAATGTAGCGTGATGTTATATTGCAACTATTAGTGTAATAATGTTACATAGTTAATAGCAAATTTCTCTTATACAAATTAATCTGTATCTTTTTTTGGTAAAAGAATAAATATATATCTTTGTTGCATCACTTTAAAATAAAACAATTTAAAGAATCCATCAAACAATAATTCCCGAGCTCATGTGCACATATAAATTAATCACATGGTCTATTTTTAAGTTTATTTTTTGTCCTGGTAAAATTAGTTAAATCCTGAGGAGAGGGAGTATTTGTAATATTTAAACATAATTACTAATTAGTAAAACTGTACTTTTATTTTTCAAATTAGTCTTTTAATATAATAATTGATTAATAATTTTCCCCAAACTGAAAATCTTCCTCAAACACACAACTTAAGTGGAGTTAACTTCCCTTTATTTTTCATTCTCTCTACTTTCTTCCCATTTCCATCTCAATCAAAGGTTGAAATTTAATATTTTATAAAATTAATTTTTTATTTGTAAATATAATCTTAATTCTTAAATTATGATTTAGATAAAATTACTTACATCTTAAATTTATTCAATTATTTTTTATAAATTTAATGTTTTAATCATAATTAAAAAATTAATTTTATAAAATATTAAATTTTAATCATCTAAAAATGAATTTGATGATTGAGGTAAGAAATGTCTTGAGGGGATGGAGAGAAGCTTGACTCAAGTAAGGCAGTACCGTTTCTGCACCATAATCATTAATGACTAATCGGTGATTGGGCCTCGTGGCCTTGTGACGTTCTTGCTATATCGGGAATGCCGCCTTTCTGGGTAATTTTCTTTTTTTTAAAGGAAAGGGACAAGAAAATTCTCTTAAGATATAAGAATAACAATTATATCTCGTGTGAAAATTAAATGTTGTAACATTAATATCTCTTGTGAGAAAACTATGATAACTCTAATTTAAAGTCTAAGTGTTATAAATATTAATAGCTACTCCTTCCATTAAAAAATATAAAATATTTTTAATAAAATCTCACTCTAATAAAATAATTCTATCTTTCCATATCTATCATTATTTAATAGATTATTTTACTTTAAAATAAATGTAAAATAATTTATTCAATATGAACACTTTTAAAAAAAATAATAATTACATTTTAAAAAATTAAAAATACTTTATATTTTTTAATATCTAACTCTTTAAAAAATATGTTATATTTTTTAATGGAGAGAGTACTTTAATTTAAATAATAACTACTTTTATGTTGAAAGTGATTAAAATGAAATAGCAAATGATCCACTATGCAGATTTTGTAATCACTAGTCCAAATTTTTATTTTAAATTTGGTCAATTATAATCATTTCACAAAAAGCGTTAATGTCAAAAAGAATCAAAGTGACTTGAGAATAATTATCACATTTTACAGAATCTCATTGTCATGCATTTACATACTTCCTTCATTTAAAAATGTAAGGTATTTTTAATTAAATTTCATCTCCTAATAAAATAGTTATCTATTTCAAACTAACCTTATTTTTTTATATTTACCCTTATTAAATACCTTACAATAAATATAAAGTTAACATCAATAGAGGCACTTTTGAAAAAAAGTAATAATTACACTTTAAAATATTAAAAATGTCTTATATTTTTTAATATTGAACTTCTCAAAAAAAATTTTACATTTTTTAACGGAGTATTTCTGAAAGATTTTTCAGTCATTTTCCCATGTCTTTTTCCCCTAGTTTCTCCTTTCTCAAATTTTCATTTTCCAAGAAAGATGAAAAACAAAGCGAGACGAGAAAATGAAACCACATTGTCGCATAATCCAATGGCGAGAATGTTTATCAAATTTACTATCAAATTTCTCGGTTATTGTCAGTGAATATTTATATTTTATCCCTCAAACCATCTTTTATTACTGATCTTATTTTTCTGTAATTTTTAATTAGTTAATCCTGTTTAATTCTATTTATCTTTCGTGTGCTTCCTGGTTCTTCCTGGTTCAGGTGAAAGAAATAAATTAAGATTTAAGAGACATCATTTCATGAGAGAGGTGCTTACTGGTTCAGGCAACATACACATATACGACATACACACACATAAGTTTTTTCTTTTTAAGTAAAATGCCATCGATCTGGCTTTGTACCTTAGTACATAATTATCTATTTAGGTCCCACATGTATGCATGTTCATGCATGCTGCTTGCTTCTTCTTCTCTCTCTCTCTTATCTTCATTATATTGTTGTTACTGTCTTATTTATTATTTTTTCTGATATAATATTTTTTCATGTACATGCTCTTATAATTTCGCATATGATTTATTTATTCAATCTTGTTAGGTCCTGTCTGTAGTTTCGCAGGTGATCACTTCACCCTGCACGCCCTAATGATACGTACGGGAGCTGTAAACCACAAATTAATCACCTACCTTACCTACATTGATCATTTTTTTAATCTCATTTATTAGTTTCGATGATCCTACCTATCCCACGTGTCAGACAAGTTTTATGGTATTCAAAAAGCAATTATAAGGGTGCTTGCAAACACTCCTCCATCGTAATTTATAAAAAAATTTTGGAAGAAATTCGACATCACGTAATATAATACATTTTTATAAAAATAAAGTTTTATTGGTGATTTTTTTTAATATTATCATTGTCATTATATTCTCTCTCTTTAATATGTACTCTTTCATAAATGAAGTATTAAATAAAGGATAATTTTATATTTTATATTTTTGTCTTTTAAAAAATAAAATTATAAAATATATTTAATGAGCTTTATTATTAATATACATGCTTTTTATGTAAAAATATCTTATAAGTTGAGACAGAGGGTGTGAGTCACTAACAAAAGTCCTTATTAATTAATTAAGGATACACACATACAAGAACACAAGACTCTCAAAATTATTCATCTTTGTTAAGTTTATGATCCATTATTATTGTTACTATGACTAAATCAACTCTCCTTTCTATAATTTAGATATTAATTATAAATGAATTCAAGCTGGCGTGTGTGGTATCGTCGCTTAAGTGAGTAGTTGGACTATCTTAGATTCCATGTTGTATTTTGATTTTTGAGATCAAATTGATTTGTGTATGTGCTTTTAATATATTTTTTAAAAAAATCATTTTAAAATTTTACAATTGCGTTATGAATTAAGTTTAAAAAGCAATTCCTCGCCAAAAGAAAACAAAAATTAGAAGGAATATTTCTTGGATTAGACCCATGGTCACACGCTTTCTAATGTAAACAAAAGTTGGTATTATATATCAATTAATTGATCCAATAATATAAGATCTAAAATGAAGGGAAGTTTGATTGAATTTGTCAAAGCAATTGAATCAGCTTATATATTTAAGAATTGTGAATTTAAGTCTTGAAATATACAATCATGTTATTAATTATTATCCTTATGTTTGTAATAACAATCTCACACAATAAGAATTTGAATAAGTTTGGACTGAAGTGGTAATAAGTACTCCTGACTTTTTAGGATATCGAGTGATGTAATAAAAAATAAAAAGAAAGAGGCTAAAATAAGACAGAGTTTAAAGCACAATGGAGATGATAGGTGTTAATATTCTGATGTGAGAGGTGTGTGCATGCACCCATGTGAAGTATGAAGGGTAGATCATAAAAGGGTGATGTGATTGGTTGTGTCTTGAGAATGCACCATGCATGTTTCTGTATGATTTGGCTTTCTTAACTCACAACCTTGTTTGTCTTTCATGTCATTTTCAAGGTTGTACCCACAACATGCATTGCCCGCTCAAGTCACCTTCTTCCACACAACCCTTAAATTTCTGCAAAACAGATCATTTCCAATTTGCAATATCCTCTCTCTCTCTCTCTCTCTCTGTCTCCATATATATATATATATATATATTCACATTCTAATTTTAAATCAAAATCTAAATCCGATGTTTTTAGTTTAATCCTCATATGATCTACATTATAAACATGATCTACAAATTAAAAAAGATGCGTTCATTGGACACATGTACATAACAACTCAATAATCACAGTTCTATTCTAATTTCAAACATTTCTTAAATATGAGGATTTTAGTTCGTTCATATTATCTATATGCAAAAGTATGACATGACTTACAAATAAATATTTGGTTCAATTGATCAAGGAAGTTAAATCAACTTATTACGTAATTTTGAGTTTGAATATTGAAATGTGATCACATTAAATAAAAATGTCAAAGGTATTTTGAGTTATCTATAAAGAAGTTAATATAACAATTTCACAGCAGGGGTTCAGATTAATTTAAGTGAGTGGTAGTAATACACCCTGAATTTTCTAGGATGCCGAGTGATTAAATTAAAAGAAGAAGAAGAAGAAGAAGTTGAATCCACTGGACACAAAAAACATGCTACGTGAGCTTTCATTAT